AACTTACCTTTTTTTTTCAAAAAAAACAAACAAAAAAGGACAGTTTCTGATTAAATTTTCTTTACAAAAAAATCTAATAAAATCTTCTTTACCCAGAAATATCTCATATCCTTATGAGTTTTGAAATTATGACAATGGCACAGCACCACACTCTTCCAGCAAATGTTTAAAGAGGGATGCATTTCAACAACAAAATTCAAAGTTTTAACATTAAAGAGATCATGTATTGTACATGCTATCAGAAATGAGATAACTTTAATTCTGAAGAAGATCCTAATTATCTAAAAGATTAATAAGCTATACATGAAGCAATCAGTCTCAGACAGTGCGAAGTATCTGCTATACATGATTAAATATGCAAAAGATATTTTATAAACAAAACTAATTTGTTTATACATCTTAAATTTCTAGCTCCAAACTAAATAATATAACAAAATTTAATCCTGGAAAATGTCTCACTTTTTTAAATCAACACAGCATCTTGCCAGAAGAAACCGACACTGCGGAGTTCTACTTCCTTTTGCATGTAACACAGAATATGCCGAGACAGTTCTTCTTGCTTGGTAGTAGCATGTTGCCAACAGGTGCAATGCATCATCAGATGCCACTGAGGAGAAAAGTAAAATTAAAAATTTATGATTCAGCACAAAATTATAATGCTTACATTTCCTTGTGTGTAAAAGTTTATCATTTTTTACCTCGACAAAAAAAAAGGACATTTCTCTTATAAGATAGTATTTTTGTACATTTATTGTAAGTTGTTGGTAATTAAAATACATTGATAATTAAGTTAAAATACTTCTTCTTACATAATATTAGAGAAAGACTAGCATAAGTAAAGAGTTTGTGTTTGTTATTAATACAACAGAAAGACAAAAGTATGTTTTGTCTTTTTCTTACAAATATATACATAAATACAAAGCTTCATGTATACATGTACCATGGTTCGAAATTAATGATGACTAGTTGGAAAAAAAAGACAGTGGATTCTATTCTACAGAAGGTTATAATAAAACAATTTTGAATATGCAAATCAGCAAGTCACATCACAACTATAGCCTATGTAAAGCCTTGGTGGAATGGAATGTATCAGAACTACAATTTTACATTGCTTGACATTTTGTAGGTAGTGTGATAAACCTGAAAATTGATCACTTATGAGAAGGGTATGTAACAGTTCTTTTCTACACAAAATTTTCATACACTTGGTTTACAGAGATGTTTTCATGTTGGGAATTTAGATTCCAAAATGGGGATATCCCTTATACTTAATGGCATTGTAAAACAAATGAATATGGATCAACTTGGAGCACCAGGGATATTTAAAGAGAGACCTGCAAGTAAAGTGTGGTGTATTGTAACAGGTGAGCCACTAACACAAAGGGCAGTGGTAAAAGCCATCCACTTGCCCTAGGCAACAGTAAGCATTAAAGTCAAGAAGAATCTCCATCTGAAACAAGACTAAAAGGATATGAGTCATCAAAATAAGGCTTCCAGTCATAGTTTCCATTCAACCATCACATATCTCAAGCAGCTGAAGAATGAAACAGGTATTCATGCTATTCCAAACAAAGATATACCAATAAAGTTGTCAGACATAGAGCTTATGGACTTCTATGCTTTCAAACCTTTGGAATTGGTGCTGAGAAACCATTGTTCTTATACACTAGATGGAGTATAAAAACTCTATAGGGTGGTATACTTTGGACATAGCAGCCTTATGACAGAACCTCTTCCAATGGAAGGTTATTGTCAAGATGTACAGTCATCAGAGAGAGCTTGACTGGAAATGGCAACATAGACTATAACAAGGTGGTAAGACTCTATAATTGTTTTAATATAATGTACTCAACCTTTGTAGTGTTTAGGCAGTGACCATCAAGGGACATTGGTATGTTTTTGTCAGCTGAAAATTCAGGCATGATTATTAATATTCAGACCATATGTAAACAAGCTGCAAGCATACCCTATTGTGGAAAAAACACCATTGTTAATTAGCAGCTTTTTGTGCATTGTTAACATGCAACTTTCAATGGGGTTCCTCAAATTCAAAGCAGTAAGTAAAAAAAAGTGCATTCAGGTGGTGCTTTAGTTTTTGTTTTCATTTAATATTAGGAAATGTTATTATCACATACAGAAATGTTAACATTTTCCTAAACTGTAAATGAATTTCTGATAGATACCTCCACCCACAAAAAGCTTTTCTTGACTTGCATTGCCCCCTATATATGCAAATTTTTGCTCGCCACTAGTCTTGGTACTCCCACCTACCCTAACATGTATTAATATGAGACATCTGCATGCTAACATGCAAATAGTCATGCAACAAGCAGTAACCCTACACCAAGAGGAGTATGTCACAACTCCTACCTTCACCAGTGCTCTCTCTTCCATGCAGCCCAAAATGATTAGGCAGTACATACAAAACTAACACCAGAAGCAGGAAGAAAGGGTGGGAAATGTAAGAAGACATAAGCATCTATCAAAAATACATTTTCAATTTAGGAAAATGTTAACTTCTGATACAATGTTTTACCTCTTCTCACAAATAGCTAGAATCCCATATTGGTTAGGAGGAGGATCCAGTGAGAAGATGATCCCCCTTTAGGAGGCACCCAAAGGAAGACCACGGGGGGTTTAAAATAAGTGGAAAACAACACATCCATGGGAGACTGCACCACTTCTGAGCCAGGTATACTCTTCGCTCCTTAGAAATGTGTCACAGGGCAGAACCAAAGCAGGGACCCCGTTAAAAGTTAAAGAAAAGAAGAGACCCCTGATGTACAGTGGCTAGGATGCATCAGACCGTACATGGCAGATCTACCTCAACGAACACCAGACAAACCATAATAGAAATATCCAGCCCATGATAGGATATGATATGGGAACTGACAGGAAAGAAGATCCTCTGTACCAAAGACCTGCAACAACAACCATTACCATATCTGCCAGGAACTGACATCCAGGGGATGGTAGGAAGGAGGGTGCGTCAGCCGAAGGAGTGAACTGCATGGTGGTGGAATACATCATCTATCACCACGTGGAATCTGGAATTGTACATCAGGTCCATGGTAAGATGAGGGTCAATGCCAACAACATCAGCAGAAAGCCACCACCCTACTCTCAACTGAGTGGAAGTGAACACAATCAGTAGGAAGCCTCCATGGTCTTCCACCCCAGAAGCTAGGAACTGGTAAATGGCAAGAACTCCCATACTCCACTAGAAAAAAGGGGGAAACAGCTCACTGGAGTGACAGGAGGAACACAGCACTAGAGACAGTGCAATGGATGACCACGATTTCTTATTTTAAAAAACAAATTGATCCAATGACCCACAAAACATGGATAATCAGGGATGGGCAGTAATCCTTGTCTGTTTTATTCATGTTAGTCCATGAGTGTTTGGTCTGGGGCAAACATCTTTATTAAGCAAAATACTGTGAGGCATTCATTCCTACAAGCAGTCTTGCAGACCACCCCATCTCAACAGTGGGCATGTATAAAACACAGGTCTTACAGTGCAGATTTAAGAATATGGATACCTGGTCAGGCAACACTCACCACAGAGCAGGATCCAAATATATGACAAAGGCTTCTGCAAATAAAAAAAAGGAGCACTTATCCACTCAGAGAGAAATCATGGAGTGCAAAATGGCAACAGGAGGATGACAAAAACCTCATAAAACAAAAATCAACTAGGTGGTGAATATAATGGGAAGTAAAGGAGTGGTCCACATACTAGCACTTATGATGTCCAACAAAGCATGAAAGAAATGAGGACAGAGGATAACCATGACATATGAACCAATGATAGTACCACTTCCTTTAGTACACAGACATGGAGGAAGGACAAACAGAATGGGAAATCAAGGATGCCACACATTCCAAAATCCTGCCCAAATTCTGGACAAAAGCCACACACAAAAGGACAGAGTGTGGAAACAGATGAATGGCACACAGCATACTGGGGGTGATATAGGAGGGTAGGGAAAGAAGGAGAGGAAGAGGAGGTGACACCAGTAGTTGGCACAAAAGTGGAAGCCATGGATGAACCAGCCAGAATGCAGCCACCAATAAAACTTGACAGAGAGTGGTCTGAATGATAGAAAAACTCCAGGAAAGCAGACAAATTGGAGGGTAGGCATACAGGTATAGACCCATCCAATCCCGATTGCGAGCATTCCCAGCTCCAGCCAAAAGATGCGCAATAGGAGACTAAAACTTGGGAAACTGAAAATTAAGATGAGTGGCAAAGGCACCCAGATCTGGAACCCACTACTGGGCACAGAGCCCCCGAAACACCCACGGGTCTATTGACCACTCCATAGGGAGAATCCTGTCAGAGCATTATAAACAATCCACAACAAGATTTAGGTCACCAGGAATATGACAAGCCAACAAAAGAAACTGATGGCTATGTACCCAATAGAGGAGGTCTAGTGTCCATAAACAGAGGTCTCTCAACTGAATGCTCCCTTACCCGGAGATGTACAAGACCACAGTCATGTTGTCTGAATGCACCATCACTGACATACACTGAAGGGCCAAAAAGAAGTGCACCAAAGCCTGACAAACTGCAAGGAACTCCAAGAGATTGATATGGAGAGAGGACTCCACCACCCCAAAACCTCCCGAGCATCCAGATAAACATCTGTGAAAAGATGACATTCTGGTACAGGAGGAGGAAGAGGAAACCTATAGTGGTGTTGTCTTGATTCAAACACAAGGAAAAGTCAGTCTGTAAAGAAGGAGGAAGGAAGAGAGGGGCATCCAAGGAATCCTGAAAGAGGCTCCAGTGGTCCAACAAAACTCAGTGAAAGTGACACATATGGGCACAACCACGAGTGATGACAGTTTTCTGAGAAGTTAACATTTTTTTATGCTGAAAATGTATTTCTGATAGGTACGTTCCTCCTCTCATACACAAAGCTATCTCCATTCTTGTCTGCTCTCTAAGCAATGCTAAAAAAAATTTGCAATCAGCACACCAGTCTTCATACTCCATCAGTTTCACACCCTTTCTGAACATGTACATATCATGTGACTATTCTCCACCAATAGTATTGTGCCACATATACTCAATCATCACTTTAAAGAATTGGCAGGTACCAAAATAAGAACACCAGCAGTGGGGAGTAAGGGTGGGAAGTGAATGGAGGTAAGTACTTATCAGTGTAAGAAAAATGGTAACTTATGATGCAGTCCTACCTCCTCTCACAGAATCCCAGATCACAAAGATGGAGAGGGCTGGTGTAGGTGCACAAATATCAAACCAAGCAGAAAGCAACTGCCCAGAATGAACAGGTGTACTTAGGGATGAAAATGAAACACACCGGGGTGTGAGGTACTGCACTACTTCAGGGATAGGTATGCTCATTGCCCAGGAAGTAGGAAATTAATCCAAAATGGGCAGAAAAGAAAGTTACTTGCACAAGCAGAAAATGGTTTGATAGGTGCAAGCTACAGTAACATATAAACAGCAGGAACTATGTACATTCTCAAACTCAACCAGACAAGGTTCCATAATTCGTCCTCAGCATTAAGGAGTTGGAAATGAAAAAAATGTGTAATAACAACAAAGTGGCTAGGGCATGTGGACCATGTTAT